TTAATCATTTTTATTATAATTCTTTTTTTTTTTTTTTTTTTTTTTTTTTTTTTTTAATTTTTATTTTTTTTTTTTTTTTTTTTTTTTTTTTTTTTTTTGTATAGAGCTGTTTTCACATCTAATAATGACTTGAATGGTATAATTTTCAACATTATATTGCATTTTTGTTTTGTTTGATGTTTTTTTTTTTATGTTTTTTAAATTCATTTCCCTATTTAGTTACACCATTACCCAAATATATATATAGCGATATATAGATACATATACATATATGTGGGAAATATATATATATAAATGGGTATATGTATTTAATAATATTCAATAATAATCTGGTTGCTATAAACTTTTCGATATACACATACGTATATTTTATGTCATAACTATATGTAATATTAAACGTCAAAACTGAAAAAAAATTCATCTGAACTATTTTTAACATTTGCAACATTAATGATTTACGTTAAAATCTTTCGTTATGATTAAATATAAAGTTTTATTTTCATTTGTTGTGTATATAATTGGTATAAATTTTGTGTTGTTGTTTTTGTTTTGTTTTTTTTTTTTTTAATGTTTAGTAATCAATACAAGTGAACTTCAATATCATATATAGGTTTTTAAAGAACGCAAGAAAGATATATTTCCTTTATTAAAATCTATTTGAACATGTTGCTATATTTTGAAAGCTTTTTCAAATTGGTTGTAAGAGCTAAGAATTGGAAAGAGCATAAGACTTGGGTTCGGTAAGAGTGGAAAAATTTAGTTGGGGCATAAATAAAGAAACGTATTAATACTAATTGTAGTAATTTCTGAGTATAGTTTAGAAGTCAAAGATATCTTAAGCTTTTTTATAGTATCTAGGAGCCACTTTATGGCAATTTAATCGTTCAATTATGTGATCGAGCGAGGGGCACTAGGGAATTGCTTTTTTTTTTTTTTTTTTTTTTGGATTGACAGCGAGTAAGATTTAGTTGTTGGCTTTAATGTCAAAATAAGTATAAAACAGTGTTGGGCTATGATAGAAAGAACAAATGTAGTTATACTACGAAAAATTCTAGTTGAGCTACACTTGAAAGTCATGTTCCGAAATTTTTTACTGTTGATGCCTAAACAGTGTTTAACAACATACAAGCTTCCTGTTAGTCAAAAGCTGTTGTAACTCATTTCATTTTTATGTACTAAATCTTGTTCGTTAATATATCTCATATATTCAGTATTGAATACACTTTACTCACTATACGGTATTTCCGACTGTGTAGGTAAGTTGAACATTTTTCTGTTTTTGTATGTTATATTTTGTCTGTTTTTGTTGATTCTGTACATATAACTTTTTAACATTTACAACACCGTACATATTTCTTTGTCTATATGCATATTACTATATATGAGTGTGTGCGAGGGAGTGTGTGTCGGTGTAGATATACAAAAGAAGGACAAAAAAAAAAAAAATATTCACAACGATTAGAGATACTTTTGAACTATTGTTTTTTTTTTTTGTGGTATAATGATTGGTTGTTTATTTAGTATTGTACATAAGGTAACTTCTGTAGATGTTGTTGTACTTGTTTTCTTGTTGTGCTGTTGTTGTTGTTGTTGTTGTTGTAGATGATGATACGAGTGGTGTACCATATATTTAAACACCGAGAGTACATATGTCTGAAAGAAACCAGCGAGTCGTTGTTGTTGATGTTGTGGTGAAGATTGTAGTTGTTTCGTGTGGTTGTTGTTGTATTTTTAGGCAGAGTAGTAGTAGTGGCGCAGGTTAAAGATTCAAAATAGTGTTTCAAATCAAAAGAAGAGAGAGAGAGAGAGAGAGAAAGAGAGAGAAAAGAGACACCAGAGAAAGAGAGAGAAATATAGAGAATGCAGTGTGATTAAAACATTTATTCATATGTATTTATATTAATATATGTATATATATATATATATACATATATATATATATAAAGTATATATATATATAAAGTATATTGCATAAATTTAAAAACAAAACGTGAAATGCGAGCTTCGGTTGCCCGAGGCTGAAATGTCCTTTCCAAATGTCAAATCTTGGATTTGTATTTGGTTTTTTTAAGGTTATCTCTATAAGGCATTCTACGGGCAGACATAAAGACGGATCTAAGTTGGATTTGGAAAGGGCATATAAAGAAGAGAAAGTGTGGTATATACATACATAAACATATATATATATATATATATATATATATATATATATATATATATATA